AAGCCTCTTGATGAAAGTGAAAGAGGAGAGTGAAAAAGTTGGCTTAAAGCTCAATATTCAGAAAACTAAGATCATGGCATCTGGTCCCATCACTTCATGGGAAATAGATGGGGAAATAGTGGAAACAGTGTCAGACTTTATTTTTTGGGGCTCCAAAATCACTGCAGATGGTGATTGCATCCGTAAAATTAAAAAACGCTTACTCTTTGGTAGGAAAGTTATGACCAACCTAGATATCATATTAAAAAGCAGAGACATTACTTTGCCAACAAAGGTCCGTCTGGTCAAAGCTGTGGTTTTTTCCAGTAGCCATGTATTGATGTGAGAGTTGGGACTATAAAGAAAGCTGAGTATTGAAGAATTGATGCTTTTGAGTTGTGGTGTTGGAGAGGACTCTTGAGAGTCCCTTGGACTGCAAGGAAATCAAACCAGTCCATCCTAAAGGAGATCAGTCCTGAGTGTTCATTGGAAGGACTGATGCTGAAGCTGAAACTCCAATACTTTGCCCACCTGATGCGAAGAACTGACTCATTTGAAAAGACCCTGATGCTGGGAGAGATTTAAGGCAAGAGGAAAAGGGGACAGCAGAGGATGAGATGGTTGAATGGCATCACCGACTCGATGGACATGAGTTTGAGTAAACTCCGGGACTTGGTGATGGACAGGGAGTCCTGGCGTGCTTCAGTCCATGGGGTGGCAAAGAATCAGATGTGACTGAGCGACTGAACTGAACTGAAAAATAGTTAAAATGCTTAGAATTTAAAGAACTGATGAATAAATGACATATATTGAAAAGAAGTGAACCAATAATTAGTGGGTGTCATTGAAATTATTTTAGGCTTTTCTAACCTTGTGTAATATGAAAGAAAACATTAAGTGAATGCTTGGTATGGAATTACTATACAATAAATGCTAAATATAATTTCTGAATATTTGTTAATATTTTGTTATCTTGAGCCTATGTTATGGGGTTTGGATTATAGTAATACAAACAGGTTGTATGAGTACTGCTTGGTTTGGGTTTTGTTGTCTTGTTCGGTTATAGATGAGGCCCAGTATGTACTAAAAAAGAATGTAGAAGTTTATTGGGAAGAAGTTACTGTTGTAGAACACAGACCATTTGCATAGAGAAAATGTTCTCCTGTTGAATGCTTATTCTTTTTCCCTGATTCCACCTGCAAATAACTAATTATACAATTATTTCTATTTTCCAAACACGTCAAAACTAAATTCACAGGTGAACCTTGTTTGCTGTCTCCTTAATCAGATATTGTGTTGACAATTAAGGTGGTCTTAAATACCTTTTAATTGCTCTTCATAGACAGCTTGTCTGTGCGTCTGTGTTGGACTAGAACATAGTACTGTGAAAAAAATAGCACATTCTCACTAGAAGTAGAGAAGAATAGGAGATGGTACTTAAGACTACAATTCAGTTCAACCAGTATTTGGGAGCCAGGTCCTGGTTAGGCGTTATAGATTCAAACTATGGATCAGGATACCCAGGATACACTCTCAGAGAGTTTTTCAAATAACTTTGTTGCAAACCAAAGTACTATTAGTAGAGAAACATAATAATGAAACAGAGAAAAGACCTTTTGGAAGAAGCTGATTTATTTAGGGCCTTGACCAATGGGAATACCTTTGACATTGAAATATTCTTCACTGATGGGGAGTTATGGGGGCATGATTTTGTTTAAGCTTGCTCTTCTTTCTATAGTTCCCAGTAGTCTACAAGTGTGACCTTCCTGATTTTGATAAATGTACTAAGGTTATTATATTAGATGTTAACATTGGAGAAATTAAATGAAGGGTATATGTACATTTTGCACTGTTGGTTTTTTTAGTGAGATAAAATTCATATCACATTATTAAAGTTAACCATTATTGTGTACAGTTTAGTGATATTTAGAACATTTACAGTGTTGTGCAACCATCACCTGGTTTCAGTGGCTTTTCATCCAAAAGAAAACCCTGTATCCCTTGAGCACTCATGCTCCCTTTGCCCTGTACTTCCACACTTGGTAACCGCTAATCTGCTTTCTGTCTCTAGAATTTTCCTATTATGGGTATTTCATATAAACAAAATCATACAAGATGTGGCCTTTTGACTTTGGTTTCTATCACATAGCATGTTTTAAAAGTCCACCTATATTGTACCATTTATCAGTACTCTGGTGGTTTTTCTGACTAAATATTATTTTCATTGTATGGCTATGACATCTTGTTTATCCATTCATCCATTGGTGGATATTTGGTGCTGCTGAGATCATTCATGTATCAGTATTGGTTTGAATACCTGTTTTTCAATTCCTATGGGTATATACCTAGGTATAGAAATGCAGGGTCAAATGGCAATTCAGTATCTGACTGTTTGAAGAACTGCCAAACTGTTTTCCATGACTAAACACCATTTTGTATTTCCACCACCAATGTGTAAGAGTTCCTATTTCTTTTAGCATTTTGATTCATTGGAATTAGTTTTTGGAATATGGTATGAGGTAGGGGATCTAAATTCATTCTTTTGCATGGCTCAAAAGTTTGGAATTAATATTTTTAAAAGATAGCTATCATTCTCCACAGTCTTGAGAAAGTATCACTCATGAAAATATAAAGTTACTTTTCTTACACTTAAAGAATTAAAGGTACAAATAAATGTAAGAGCTAAAACTATAAAACCCTTCAGTGCAATTCAGTTCAATTGCTCAGTCGTGTCTGACTCTTTGTGACCCCATGAATCACAGCATGCCAGGCCTCCCTGTCCATCACNGGGTGGTGTCATCTGCATATCTGAGGTTATTGATATTTCTCCCGGCAATCTTGATTCAAGCTTGTGCTTCTTAAAACCCTTAGAAAAAAGCATTTGGAAATGGATTCTTATACCTGATAGTAAAAGAAAAAAGCTACACAAGTTAAATTGGATGAATTGGATATATAAAAATAGAAAAAGATTTTATACGGCATAGGACATTGTCAAGAGACTGAAAAGACAGTGTACAGATTGGGAGAAAACATTGGCAAATCATGCACCAGATAAAGATCTAGGATCTAGTCTACATAAAGAATTCTTAGAGCTCAAAGCAATAAGTTACTCAATTTAATAATAGGCAAAGAATGTGATTAGACATTTCTCCAGAGATATACAACTGTCCAGTAAGCACATGAAAACATGCTCAGAAATAGGCAAAGAATTTGATTAGACATTTCTCCGAAGATGTACAAATGGCCACTAAGCACATGAGAACATGGTCAACATCACTAGACATCAGGAAAATTGAAATCAAAACCGTAAGTATCTTTCAGGATACCTATAACAAAAGAAAGGCACAGTAGTAAGTGTTTACAGTGGAATGAAGATCTTGCAACACCCATACATGGCTAGTGAGAATGTTGGATGATGAAGCCACTTTGGAAAATAGTTTGACAGTTCTTCAAAAAGTATGGAATTGCCATGTGACTCAGGAATTCTACTCTTAGGTATACTCAGAAAAATCAATGTATATGTATATGTCCACAGAGAAACTTGTGCGTGAATATTCATAACAGCATTTACTTTTACTAGCCAAGAGAGGAAACAAGTTAGATGCCCATCAACAGTTAAACACAGTAACATTGTTTTGAAATTAGATTGTGGTGATGGCTGCACATACTACACATTGCGAACATACTCAGAAACCACTAAATGGTGCACTTTAAAGGAGTAAAGTTTAGAGTATGTAAAAAAACTAACAAACAATAAATGAATTTTTAAAATATCTCACAGAAATTTTTGTTTTAAAACAGTGCTCATTTGCTTTGTTTTTTTTTTTTTAGAAATTTATCATGGCATCCTGCATTGACCACTAGAAATAAAATGCGAATTCCACATTCTCATGCTTTCATTGATCTGACTGAAGATTTCACAGCAGGTGAGTTGCACATAAATGTAAAATATTTCTTTTAGGATGCCAAAGAATGGTGAGATATTTGCTGTGTTCCTACTAAACATTTGCTGTTGAATTGAACATTGAAACCAAAATGTGAAAAGGTTACAAGGAAGTCAGTGATATCAGGAAAATGTAAAAAGTACTGGATGTAATAAAATATACCTTTACTTATTTTTTGCTGTTTGTAATCATTATCAAAATTTGAGTTATTGACTAATAAATGCTGTATATTTAATTATAAGAAAAATATTTAGCTTATGTATTAAAAATTGAAAAGATTGTTTTTAATTTTTATTATGAAAAATGTTAAATACAGAAAAGTAGGCAGAATAGTATGATATACACATATTTAATCATCACCTAGCTTCAACAATAATCAATATATGGATAATCTTGTTTCATCTGTATAATCACCCATGAGCCCCTCCCACCTAATTAATTCTATCACTTCAACATTTTATCATTTCATTTATAAATATTTCAATCTGTAGTCATCTCCAACTCTTTGCAACCACATGGGCTGTAGCCTACCAGGCTCCTCTGTCCATGGAATTGTCCAGGCAAGAATACTGGAGTGGGTAGCCATTCTCTTCTACAAGGGATCTTCTTGACACAGGGATCAAACCCAGATCTCCTACATTACAGACAGATTCTTTCCTGTCTGAGCCACTAAGACAGGTTGTTAATTTTTAACAACCACAAGATCATTTTCTAACTTAACAAAAAATTGAACAAAATTATATTAATTTTTGTTGTTCAGTCGCTAAATTCTAAGTCGCTATGCCTTGAGACTCCCTAGACTGCAGCAGGGCAGGCTCTTCTGTACTCCACTGTCTCCCAGAGTTTGCTCAGATTCATGTCCATTGAGTTGATGATGCCATTATGCCATTCAGCCATCTCATTCTCTATTACCCCCTCCTCTTCCTGCCCTTAATCTTTTCCAGCACCAGGGTCTTTTCCAGTGAATCACCTTTTTGCATCAGGTGGCCAAAGTATTGGAGCTTTAGCTTTAGTATCAGTCCTTCCAGAACCACAGTTCAAAAGCATCAATTCTTTAGCATTCAGCCTTCTTTATGGTCCAACTCTCGCATCTGTACAGGACTACTAGGAAAACCAGAGCTTTGACTATGTTTGTCAGCAAAGTAATATCTCTGCTTTTTAATATGCTGTCTAGGTTTGTCATATCTTTCTCTCCAAGGAGCAAGAGTCTTTTAATTTCGTGGTTTTAGTCACCATCTGCCCTGATTTTGGAGCCCAAGAAAAGAAAACCTGTCACTGCTTCCACTTTTCCCCCTTCTATTTGCCATGAAGTGGTGGGACTGGATGTGATGATCTTAGCTCTCCTTTTTCACCCTCATCAAGAGACTCTCATTCCTCTTTGATTTTTGCTATTAGAGTGATATCTGCATATCTGAGGTTGTTGATATTTCTCCTGGCAGTCTTGATTCCAGCTTGTGAGTCATCCAGCCTGACATTTCACATGATGCACTCTTCATAGAAAGAAGTTAAATAAGCAAGGTAACAGTGTACAGCCTTGTCATAATCCTTTCCCAGTGTTGTTCCATGTCTGGTTCTAACTCTTGCTTCTTGACCTGCACACAGGTTTCTCAGGAGAGCAGTAAGGAGGTCTGGAATTCCCATCTCTTTAAGAACTTCCCACAGTTTGTTATAATCCACACAGTCAAAGGCTTTGGCATAGTCAATAAAACAGAAGTAAATGTTTTTCTGGAATTCTCTTGCTTTCTCCATGATCCAGCGAATGTTGGCAGTTTGACGTCTGGTTCCTTTGCCTTTTCTAAACCCAGCTTTTATATCTGTATGTTCTCGGTTCATGTACTGCTAAATCTTAGCTTGAAGGATTTTGAGCGTAACCTTGCTGGCATGTGAAATGAGTACAGTTGTACAGTAGTTTAAACATTCTTTAGTATTGCTTTTCTTTGGGATTGGAGTGAGACATGACTTTTTCCTTTGCAATGTTATAAACTTCCTTCCATAGTTGCTTAAGCACTCTTTCTGCCAGTTCTCATCTCTAGAATCTGTTTGTGACCACTGTATAATCATAACGGATTTGATTTAGTTCATACCTGAAAGGCCTAGTGGTTTTCCCTGCTTTCTTCAATTTAAACCTGAATTTTGCCATGAAGACTTCATGATCTGAGCCACAGTCAGCTCCAGGTCTTGTTTCTGCTGACTGTATATAGCTTCTCCATCTTTGGCTGCAAAGAATATAATCAGTCTGATTTCAGTATTATCCATCTGGTGATGTTTATTTGTAGAGTTGTCTCTTGGGTTGTTGGAGAAGAGTGTTTGCTATGACCAGTGTAGTCTCTTGGCCAAACTCTCTTAGCCTTTACCCTGCTTCATTTTGTACTCCCAAGGCCAAACTTGATTCTGTTAATATCAAATACTTATTCACTATTCAAAATGCCCTAATGTTCTCCTAAATGCTGTTTATCAGATTAGGTCAACAGGGTACATCAGTCAGTCAATTTAGTCGCTCAGTCGTGTCCTACTCTTTGCAACCCCATAGATTGCAGCGTGTCAGGCTTCCCTGTCCATCACCAACTCCCAGAGCCTACTCAAACTCATGTCCTTCGCTTCGGTGATGCCATCCAACCATCTCATCCTCTGTTGTCCCCTTCTCCTGTCTTCAATCTTTCCCAGCAACAGGGTCTTTTCCAGTGAGTCATTTCTTCTCATCAGGTTCATACATACATAGAAGAAACAGAATTTTTTCAAAGTTGGATTTTGCCAACTCTGTCCTCATGGTGTTAATATGTTAATATGATGATGTCATCTGTTATTTCCTGTAAGCCAGTGATTAGATTTAGAGTCTTGATCAGAATCAGTCTCTTTTTAGTTGAGAATACTTACAAGGTGTTGATTTTTGTTTCAGCTCATTAGGAAACACATGATTAGGTTCTCTCTTTTGTGTGATTAAGTCATCAGTACCTTCAGTTTTCTTCAGCATGGACCATTCATTATATTGTTCTCCTAATGGTTTGAGCAGCTATTGATGATCATTGTCAAGTCTTATTTTTTCAAAAGGAATTATAAAATTATAGCACCCTAAATATGTTACTCCTTAGCATATATTATTAGGATTTCCTATTAAAAAAATAAAGAACTTCTTTCATTATCTTTTTATTCACTCAAAGTACATTTCAGACAGGTAGGTTAAATGCATGAATTTTCTTGTGTCTCATTTTTTTTCCAGTTTTTTCTTTTAATTTGGTAAAATACACATAACATAAAATTTACCATAGTGACCATTTTTAAGTGTATGTTTCAGTAATATTAAATACAGTCTTGGTATTTATGTACCATCCAACTCTTTTCATCTTGTAAAATTGAAACTTCATACCATTAATTAATAATTCCTCATTTATCTCTTTCTCCCAGCCTGTGGTAACCACTGTTCTACTTTGTTTTTTGACTGTTATAAGTACTGCAAATAAGTGAAATCATATAGTGTGTATTATTTTGTAACTGGCTTATTTCACTTAGCATGATATCCTTGAGATTTATCCATGTTGTAGCATATGTCAGAATTTTCTTCCTTTTTAAAGCTGAATTTTGTATAACATTTTGCTCAACTTCCATATTTAACTATTGTAAATAATGCTGCTATGATTGCTGATGTACAAACATCATTTAGAGATCCTGCTGTCAGTTCTTTTTGGGTATGTATCCAGAAGTGGAATGGTTGGATCCTATGATGATTTTGTGAGGAATGACCATCACAGCAAGTTTATTGTTTTGCATTCTCACCAACAGTGTAGTTTCCAGTTTTTCCACATACTTGCCAATATTTGTTGTTTTCTGTATTTTTTTTTTATACTTGGCATTCTAATAGGTTTAGTGTGGTATCACATTGTAGTGCGTTGTTTTTGGTTTTTGTTTGTTTCACCATCCCACATGGCTTGCAGGATTAGTTCCCTAACAGGAATTGAGAGGTTGAACCTGGCCGCAGCAGTGAAAGTGCCAAGTTCTAATCACTGGACTGCCAAGGAATTCCCTCATGGTAGTTTTGATCTGCATTTTTCCTAATGACTGGTGATGTTGAGCACCTTTTCATGTGCTTATTGGCTCTTTGCAGATCTCTTTTTGAGAAATGTGTATTTAAGTCCTGTGCCCATTTTGTAATTTTGTTGGCTCTTTGCTATTATTGAATTTCAGTTATTCTCTATTTAGAGTTTTGCTTCCTCATCAGATTTGCAAATATTTTCTCTCATTCTGTGGGATACCTTTTTACTCCATTGATAGTGTCTTTGGATGCAAAAAAAAAATTAATTTCCTGAAGTCCAGTTTTTCTGTTGTTTCTTTGTTGCCTGTGCCTTTGATATCCTACCCAAGAAATTATTGCCAGTTTCACCATTATGAAGCTTTTACCCTATATTTTCTTTAAGAGTTTTACACTTTTATCTCTTACATTTAGAGCTTTCATCCATTTTGAGTTAATTTATGTATATGTTGTTAGATAAGGTTCCATTTTCATTTTTTGGCATGGATACCCAGTTTTCCTTGTAACATTTATTTAAAAGACTTGTCATTCCCACATTGAAGAGTCTTAACCACTCTTGTCAAAATTCATTTTACCATATACTCAAGGGTTTGTTTTTGGGTTCTCTGTTATTTCACTGATCTGTGTGGTCCCCTCTCTTTATGCTAGTACCGTACTGTTTTGATTACCAAAGCCTTGTGATATATTTAGTAATCAGAAAGTGTGAGTCTTCCAACTTCATTCTTTTTTCACATTGTTTTGACTCTTTGAGGTGGTGGTCCCTTGAGATTCTACATGAATTTTAGGACAGGTTTGTTTTGTTTCTTTTCGTATCTATGAGAAGTGCCATTGGAATTGTGATAAGGATCAATCTGAATCCATAGGTCACTTTGGGTAATATTGCTATCTTAACAACATTGTTTTTCAGTTCATGAAAATGCAGTGTGTTCCCATTCATTTGTCTTCTTAATGATTTAAC